GTGTGTACTGGCTATATAATGCCTTTCAGCTCTTGAATAAGATTATGTGAAATTTGGTGAGTTGAATCAATTTTGTTATCACTTGTATTTTACAAACAAGACACTTATTATGTATGTGTTGCTAGGCGACAAGCTAATGGGATTGCTTACACCTCAACACAAAAATCCCATTTCTCTTCTTATCCCATGGTTTATTATGACATATGCATTTCTTACTTAGAGACCGTTTACCAAATGCTTACTTGAGTAAGTGTTTACCAAGTTATATCATCTTACCTGATGAATATGGGGTAAGGACAAAAAATCTCACCCGGTAAAAACGAGGTAAAGACTGAGACTCTTACCCGATAAGTGAGGACAATGATTCTAACCACGACTAGCTTTTACCAGGTAAATTGTTGTATAGAAAGTCGTTTTTGTTGACTAAAATTTTACCCGATAAGTAAATAATAATATTGAATTTTACCTATAAATGTTTACCGAGTAAGTGTTTAGTAAACGACTGATATGAATATTATTTGCCTGATTGGGGATCCTTGAGAAATTTTTGTTTAAAAAGAAAGAGGGGTGTTTGGATAAACAGGGCTCCACCATGGAAGTTATGATCCGCAACACAGAGGATCACGTACTCCCTCAAACGTGATTTCTCTCGAACAATCCGGCCCTTCGTCAAACTATTTCTCTGCCCAAAACCTTTCAGAACCCTCTAGAACCCTTTCACATTTAATCCCTGTATAAAAGCCTCTGAATATCAAACTTTTTTTCCCGAAACATTCAGATTTTTTTTTCTCGTTGATTTGCATTGTAAACAGCAACATCTGTTTGATCGTCGTTGGAAAAATGGAAGACGATTTCGACTTTCCGGCAGTTAAACAGATGAACAAAGAAATGATGGAAGACAATATACCGTATGATGCACCTGTGACATTGAAGGTTGGAGAAGAAAAGGAGATCGGTAATCAAGGCTTGAAGAAGAAACTTCTTAAAGAAGGTGAAGGTTGGGAAACTCCCGACAATGGCGACGAGGTCGAAGGTATAATAATTCACAACTGAATGCAGTTTCTGCTGATAGTTTTTTTGTTCTGAAACTCGTAATTGTATTGATTCTGATTCCGATTCCCATTCCGATTCGAGTTTTTGACAGTTCATTATACTGGAACTTTGCTTGACGGGACTAAGTTTGATTCGAGTCGTGATAGGGGAACTCCGTTTAAGTTCACTCTTGGTCAAGGTGAAGATTCTTCTTCCGAGTCTTAAATCATTTCATAACCTTCTTTTGTGATGCAGTTTAAATAGAATTATCCATATCGTGATCTAATGTATTATCTTCATGTTGATTTTGGTAATGCAATATACATTAACGTATAATATACATGATTGGTAAATTCGGGTGAAGCTCGGTACATACTACATAGAATAGCTGTTTAATGATTATAGATTTTTGGTTATTCTTTCTAGATGAAAGTAATCATACGCGAGTGTTCTTATGATCCTTCTGTTGGAGGAAATCGATAAATATAAAGAACCAGCAGATAGAACTTTTTATCGAGCTCCTTATTCTCAAGTTATATTTCCACCCAATTCTATAAGGGTATCACGAAGTTAACTCGAGGATAACTAATTAAGCCGGTGGTTACAGAAGAGCAATTGCCAAAATTGTACACGGATCAGAATGTTTTCGCTTTGCTTCTTAGAGTCAGAAGCTAAGTCGACACCATTTCTAAACTAAACTCTGGAGGCTTGAATTTCACTTAGAACATTCAGAAACTCATTTTTACTAAACGCTTCTTATCATAAAATACGTAGAGGTATTGAGGTGTCACCCCTACCCAGCAAGGGCGGCCCCCTCAACCTCTCCAGGACCATGCAAGGGGATCCTTCTAATTTCAGTTAGTTACACGAGAGTGCACTCTACATCTTCTTCTGTGATATAGCTCAACTACCAACTCCAAATTCACTTGTCAATCCTATTATATCAAATAAACCGGTGATTTCACTAAAGTCACCTACACCTGCTTGTCCCATCCGTGACTAGTTCATTGCGCTTTTTTTTCACTTGAATAAAAAAGGAAGAGAGGATAAAACGATATGCAATATCACCATTAGCAGTGAGTTTTCACCATGAATCCAGTATGTTTTTTGAGGGTTAACTGATTTGTAAAAGATCATGACTTATACACATCGTTGTTCCATATTGATAGTTTTGTGAGGGTTAATTGGTTTGTATGAGATCATAACTTATACGCATTTTGTTCTATATTGATAGGCCAAGTAATTAAGGGATGGGATCACGGAATCAAAACGATGAAAAAGGGTGAGAATGCTCTTTTCACCATTCCTGCTGCACTCGCATATGGCGAGTCTGGTTCTCCCCCAACTATCCCTCCAAACGCCACTCTCCAGTTTGATGTTCAACTGCTTTCCTGGGTCAGTGTCAAGGACATTTGCAAGGATGGGGGGATCTTCAAGAAAATTGTAAAGAAAGGAGATAAGTGGGAGAACCCCAAGGACCTTGATGAAGTTTTAGGTAATTCTTTTTTTGCCTTTTCTCAGTCTCCATTTCAAACTGTGTGGGTTTGGAACTCATCATGTGTGCATTGCTTGTGGTTATGCAGTGAATTATGAGGTTCGACTTGAAGATGGGACTTTGGTTGCAAAGTCAGATGGCATGGAGTTCACTGTCCGAGATGGTAATTTGCCTGGCTGATACACTGTTTTTCATTGATGTTGTTGTGTTTTTGCTTATTGTTCACATGCTCATTTTGATAGGCCACTTCTGCCCTGCACTATCCAAGGTGGTGAAAACAATGAAGAAAGCGGAAAAGGTCATCCTTACAGTTAAGCCTCAATGTAAGTGAACGTTAGAGGACTTTTTGAAGCAAAGTTGATTTAAGATTAGGAAACTTTTTGTTTATAAGGGTCTTTTTCATAGATGGAAGGAGCATGTCTTTTAGTTGGGAGGGGCAAGTTTGGAAAAAACTTGATAATCTTCATAAAGCTCCCCCTAAAAGCTTACTGGATAAGCCACTTTCATCATGCATAGCTGACAGAATAAACTACGAGGCTTAAGTTATTTCTTGGTTATAGATGGATTTGGGGAGAAGGGGAAACAAGCTTCAGGTAGTGAAGGCCAAGTTCCACCAAATGCTACACTAGAAATTACATTAGAGCTTGTATCGTGGAAGACTGTTTCAAATATCACCAATGACAAAAAGGTTGTAAAGAAAATTTTGAAGGAAGGAGAGGGATATGAACGCCCAAATGAAGGCGCCATCGTTCAGGGTATGTGAACAATCTGGTTGTGCTCTTTTTGAGCATTTTAAATGCATAGTGGTGTCTGATGATTTGTTTTTTAAATGGCCAGTGAAACTGATTGGTCGGCTGCATGACGGTACCATATTCATTAGGAAAGGTTATGATGATACCGAACCTTATGAGTTCAAGACAGATGAAGGTATTGAAAACAATCAAAACATCAAGAAGCCATGTTGTTATGGAGTTCCATGTTGGAATTAGCTTGTACTCACTACTAGCCATTTTGGGTCTTGCAACAGAGCAAGTAATCGATGGACTCGATAGAGCTGTGATGACAATGAAGAAAGGGGAAGTAGCTTTTCTGACAATTAAACCAGAGTATGCTTTCGGTTCGACAGAATCTAAGCAAGAATTAGCAGCGGTCCCTCCTAACGCCACCGTGAACTATGAAATTGAGCTCGTCTCTTTTATTAAGGTCAGTGGGAAGAGCATATGGATCCAAATACTAAGCTCTGTAGGTTACTTGGGTGGTGTTTGGTTTGCAGAATTCCTCGGTTGGAATTTGATGGAATTAGAATAGTCAATTCCATAGATAAATTCCATTCCGACGTTTGGTTTACCTATAATTTCATACATTCCACCAACCTTGGATTACATCATTTCATCATACTGGGGAAGAAATTGAATTTTATTTAACCGATTTTCTTAAGATGTAAGAAAAGTATCCATTAAACCATTTTTCTTAAATTATTTTACTTATAGTTCAAGAAAACAAATACAAATTCTAAGAAAGGGTATTTTGCATCATTTTTCATCATTTCATTTCAATTCCTCTGTATATCAAACAAACATATCCCGATTTATTTGACAGAAATTGCAATCAATTTCCTACGAATCAAACACTTGGTCAAACCTACTAGATTCCAATTCCTTCGATAGATTCTATTCATTCGAAAACATTCTGCCAACCAAACGACCAAAAGCCCCCTTAGAGACTGTTTATCAACACTTATGTAAACGCTTATTGGGTAAGAATCACCACCCTCACTTACCTTACTGGGGATCATCTCTAACCAAGTTGGCAAGCGCTTGCCATAAGATTGTTGATAAACACCATCGTCTTTTGACTGGGTAAGCGTCTCTTACCTGGTCAGAGGCAGTAGTCACCCCATAAAGACAGCAAGTGTTTAGTAAACAGGCCCTTAACGTTATTTTCTTGCAGGAGAAAGAGTCATGGGATATGAACACCCAGGAGAAGATCGAGGCAGCTGGTAAAAAGAAGGAAGAAGGGAACACCTTCTTTAAGGCTGGTAAATATCTGAAAGCTGCAAAACGCTACGAAAAGGTAAAAATTGATGTTGCGATTGTCGAAGGAAATTCTAATTCCATTTGTGTGGATGAGCTGAAGCTACTTAATTAATGGTGTCTCAGGCTGCCAAGTTGATCGAATACGATACTTCCTTTGGAGAGGAGGAAAAGAAGCAAGCAAAAGCGTTGAAGGTGTCGTGTAACCTCAACAATGCAGCCTGTAAGCTGAAGCTGAAGGATTATAAACAGGCCGAGAAGCTTTGCACCAAGGTCAGTCATCATGAATCCATGGTGTGTTGATTAGATAGATAGATGGATGTATTTGTGAAGGGATGATGATGATGATGATGGCAGAAAGTTTATTGCAGGTGTTGGAGATGGAGAGCAGGAATTTGAAGGCCCTGTACAGGAGAGCTCAAGCATACATCAATGTAGCAGATCTGGATCTAGCAGAACTTGATATCAAAAAAGCACTTGAAATAGACCCTGATAATAGGTATGGTAGGGGATTATTAGGGCATTGCGTCAGTGGCTGTTTGGCTGGTTTTTCATTGAGTCGTGTATGGATAAAACTGTCCGTGGCTGTTTTTGTGGGTTAATCTGTTTATATAGATCTGGAAGGTTTTTATTTGGGAGAGACATGTTTGGAAAGAACTTGGCTTTCTGTATAAAACTTCCCCCTAGAAGCATAGACCCTATATCATTAGCTTCATTAAACTCATTAAGCTGCTAACAAACAGACCCCATTTGCAACCTATTGATCCGGTTTGTGTTGGTAATGAATGAATCAGGGATGTGAAGGTGGAGTACAAAATGTTGAAGGAGAAGATGAAGGAATACAACAAGAAGGATGCTAAATTCTATGGACATATGTTTGCAAAGCTAATCAATTCTAAAGTAAATCTCTATTCCCTTCTCTGCTTTTCCGTTCCACATTTTTCTAATGTATCCTATCATGTTTCGACTCTGAATGAATGCGTTATCTTTTGGTGCTGAATGATGCAGCAGCAGCAGCAGCAGCAGCAGCAGCAGCAGGAGATGCAATCAATGAGCATAGACAGCAAGGCATAAAATCATCCTTTGCTTATCTCGATCTTTTTTAAGTTGGCTTCCCCACTAGCAATAGTATGTAGATGAATTGGAAGTTGGATCCTTCAAGTTACAAAATAAATAGTTTTGCCCATCGAGCTGTTTTGTTGGTTTTCTATTTAGTTCTATATGGATAAAGGATTTGGTTGGGTTTCTATTCAGTTCTAAATGGATAATTCAATCTAAATCTTTTTGTATAGATTGAGAAGATATTGTTTGGGAGAGTTTTTCATAGATTGAAAGAGTGTTTTTTAATTGGTCGGAACAAATTTGGAAAAAAGGTGGCTTTTGCATAAAACTATCCCGTAAAAGCTTATAGGATAAGTTAACTTTTTATATATTAAGTCATTACTAAACAGTTACTTATAACTCGCAGAATAAACTATGGAGTCACATTAAGCTCAGAGCTTAAATTGCTAAACAAATAGGCCCTGACTGAACATGTTCCAATTCCGTTATATACTGAAACAAATTATTACTGATAACACACATACGTTATCAAATAAAGAATATCCACCTCTCTTCTATTCCTAACAATAAAAGGCCTGCATAAATGTTACATAACACTCTAAACCTTCTCCAATGACTGAACTAGACTTACACCACACGGCTCGGAACTATATCTATATCTATATACATATAGAATAGGCCTCATCTCAAACAGACTAATCCAAAAAACTGTGTTGTTGTAATGAACTACTTCTATTTTTCATTAACTAACCTGCTCCCCAATTAAATCCAGACCCACCACTAGAAAAGTAACCCCTTGAAACAGTAGGAAATAGAAGTGAATACCTTGGGCAGATAACAAGCTTCTCAGGGAGGCTGTTAACAAAATGAAGGCAAGAGCAAGTTCCTTCCTATACAGACAGTTTTTCCGTTTCTTTCTCGAATCTGAAAGACTCGACTCCAAAGAGGATCTGTGGATAGGGGTTTCTTCTTCTGTTTCAGCACAGGCTAAAAGGTCTGATTCAGAGGATCGGCCTAGTTTCTTAGTTACTACCCATTCGTAAGAACTGCCCAACTTGAAAAGTCCGGATATCATAGCGTTGAATTTGGTAACGGACATGGTGTTCTCAAAGAGAAGGTAAGGGACGATAAATGGGAATGAACGAGGTGCAGGCAGGATATTTAAGACAGAGATGATCCCGGGTATGTAACATACTACCCAAGCCGGTAATTGAGCTTCTGGCAGGAACATGGTCAATGGAAGAATTATGCAGAAAAGAGTGAATGAGTAGAAGGGAAGAACGAGCTTTCGTAGCAGAAAGAAAAGGAAGATCAAATTAGCCTTCTTCAAGAAACTCACCTGTAATTACCCCAAAAAGAAAACGGTCGTTAGTTCATTAGCATACATCGCTGAACTGCTAAAAGTGGAAATTAAAGTAAATAGCCATTTTGACCGACGTAATTCACCTACTAGCCATCCCTTTCCCTTTTTACCATTTTATCCATACCTCTGCAAGTGCCCTTGCCGCAACTTGCGGAGAGACATTGATGAGTTCAAAAAAAATTGAACTTCACTTTTGTTCACTTGCGGAATGGGGCAATGATGATTTAAAAAAAATGAAGTGAGCTTCACTCTTGTTCACTCTTGCGGAGGGGGCATTTGCGGCAAGGACACTTCCCACACAAACGTCGGAAATTTCCAGCCTAATTTTTCCCACATGAAAACCAAATCAAGAGATGAATAATCATTTTCTCCACTTGCAGCAAAGTCCCTTGGGGCCGTTGCATGTAAGAGGTCTACTTGCGTTGGCTGATAGCGACTATTCATAACATATAACATTTTTGGTGAAAGTGGGAGAGAAATGGCAGTAGGAGTCTAGGAGATGAATTGATATGTGGAAAATGGCTGTTTTCTGTTAATTTCCCGAATTATAATAAACTTTTCAGACCTTTGAACGGATAATGTCCATAAAACACAATCGAAAGAGCTGCATTGGACCCGAATGCCACCTGTGTTGCTGCTTCTTATATGCTGCATATGATTCCGGGAGCTCACACATACACTGCAAGAACAAAATGAATTCAAGAACCATGGCATTTACTAACAGGCGCAATAACAGCCTCACAAGGCGTGATTGGTACATGAACATAACTAGACATAATTGAACTGAAATGGACTGCATATGACCGGACAAGCGAGAGTGACGTAGGTGGGCAAAAGAATTGTGGAAGGTTGTACAACTTTTATTTTGATATGGGTAGTTTAGTAATTTACCAAGTTTGTCCAATCTCCGTGATTTTTGTCCCACCTATTTTGGTGAGGACAGAAATGACATTCAGTCATGGCAGGTCCCAGTCTAATTGTGTCACAAAATGTGTAACAAGCTTTTGTTCTATCTTATACTATACTGTTCCGCATACTAAACACACACTAAGGTATATGCACTGACCTTGACGTCATTCAAATATATGAACTTCCAGCCTGCAAGATGAGCACGGACAGCAATATCCATGTCTTCAACAGTTGTTCTCTCCAACCATCCACCACAATCCTCAAGGGCTTTGATCCTCCACACACCAGCAGTTCCATTAAAACCAAAGAAATTGATGAAAACTCCATTCACTTGTTGTTCAACCTCAAAATGAAACGTCAAATTTATGTTTTGCAACCTTGTAAGCAGATTTTCGTCCTTGTTTACAAAACACCATCTTGTTTGGACCAATGCTAGCTCATCGTTTCCCTTCAACAGAAAAGAAAAAAGACGATAAAATTGTGTCTGAGTGGGATATATTGGGCTAGTCTTTTTTGAGTTGGTTTATAATCAGTATTGCACACACTTAGAAAACTAGCTAGCATTTGTAACAGGGGTGGACCTACATCAACTTAGTTTTACAAGTAGGATTTTTTTAGGTATGAAAGATACACCCACTAAACTTTGAGGGTGCTCCGAGATATTAGAAAATATAAGCAAAATCAACCAAAAAAAAAAAAGAAAAAAGTACCTTGAAATCAACCAAAAAACCGAAAAAGTTTTTCAAAACCAACAAAATAAAACCGAAGACTCCGTAGAAATCAACCAAAAAACCTAAAACCCTTGAAATCAACCAAGAAACTTAAAAAATTCCTTGAAACGGTGGAATTCTAAAAACATATTGGGCGACTTTGCAGGCGTTTGATCCACCTTAAAGGTGCAACGGCTCGGCAAAATTCTTGGGTCCACCACTGATTCTTGAACTCTTAAACCAGATGTTAACTTTTGAACAACATGATGACGAATTACGAACAAATAAATAGGTGCTTACTTCAATCATAGGGGATAGTTTTCGATCCTTGTGCGTGATTCTATATTCTAGTTAAAAGCAAACGTTACCTTAAAATGTGGGAGTGTTTTCTTCAGGAAATCCGGTGCTGGTTGAAAGTCTGCATCAAATATTGCTACAAACTCGTAATCTTTTACGTAATCGCAATTCATGGCTGACTTGAGATTTCCTGCCTTGTAGCCTGTGCGAACAAGTCGATGTCTGTATACTATATGTACACCTCTGTGTTGCCATTTGCTAACCTCCACCTTGATAAGGGCCTGAACAGTTGTGTCATCAGAATCATCAAGAATCTGTACAAGCATTCTTTCTCGAGGCCAGTCCTGGACGCATATTGCTGAAATAGATTGTTGATAGACCTGGAGGCAACAGATATGCATAGATTTAGAGTTGCTAGATACAAAAACTGTGATCGTGCTGAGCAAAAGAAAGGAAACGTACATCATGTGGAAAAAGAAATATATTGTGGACCCTCCCACAAACCCCTCCAAAGAAGAAAATCTTAAACAAAAACTGCGATCGTGCTCAATTGAGAGACCTTTTTAGCTTTAGGCTTCTACTTATTCCCGTATGTATTTTATGGTCCTTCAAAGTTTCTACGTTCAAGCTCCTAGAGACACTTCACATAAATCAGCATCAGTTATCAAAAGGAAAGGAAAACACATCAACTTCTGGCTTGCACATCCTAGTGATGAATAAAGAACATGCCCCATTCCATAGTACATCACATGTGAACATCAAGCAAGGATAATTATTAATATAGATGAGAGTGTTTCTCAGCAAAAGGATGGCAAACCCGTACTTCCTAAGATATTTTAGCAAGTGTCAGAAGCGCACTTTGATGAATGCCAAACTGACTGGCAATGTGCTATCAGTAAGTGTGTGTCTAGTTGGGTGTACTTTTATCTGTTTGTATATGTGAATAAAGACATGGTCATATTAGTTCTGGTCCTAAGAAACAGAACATAACTTCATCAGCAATTAATAACATGTTTTTTATGAAAATGATGGGTATGATCTTGTAGGCTACTTCTTCACAGGGGATGATACGTTCATGTTGATCTCTTGATCACATTCCAGAAAATCCCCTTGCATCAAAGAGGAATCTGTTATTAACATTAGAAGTCTTGCTCTTTGCACTCGGTCAATACCTTCAAGTTGATGGTACATGCCAAAGTAAGTTGCAAGGGTTGTGTTATTTCACTCAAATATGAAATTGACAGAAGTGCTTTTATAACGAAATAAAGGGATTGCCAAGTTTCCGAATACTTAGAATCCTAACTGAACAAAGTGATCTCTTTTCAGATGTCATGGGATCTCATGGTGGGTGTTTCATATGTTTGCAGTTCTACATGTTTGTTTCATATAGGAAATTGGGGACTGTTGTTTACGCTTTTAAGATCAAACACAAAAATCTTGGATAAAATATCAGGAGGAAGACAAACTCTTCATTTCCCACCCCTTCTAACTTTCATTTCTTGAACTGTTGAAAAGTGTGGAGGTGAATTCATGTTAGGTATTGAGTTATTTTATGCAAGTGTTGGTGTCTAGTGATAGTTTGTGTTGAAGTTCCCTACGAGGCCTACCAACTTCAGAAAAAAGGTCAAAATACATAAGAGAAGAAATGATAAGATCTCTCTCAAAGCTACCTTATGTGTCACCATCTCACCATCATCAAAATTTCCCTTCTAAAACAACTTTGTGAAGCCAAATCACCAGAGGCATCATTGACTATGAACAAAACTTCAATCAAGCATATCTAGTGGTGTCAAATCCGGAGTAGTTCAGATGATGTAATTTGCAGGTCAGTTCACACATTTAGTGGTAAACACAGTTGCCTTTTATTTTATGGACAAATATCCTATTGTTAAGGTGAGGAACTCAGGAACAAGTTAAGAAAAAGGCACAAAAAGTTCATAGTTTTGCACAGGGCAAACTTATTAACAAGTTGTTCCGTTTAATTTTTGAATTAATGCTATGGATCTATGCTAAATGCCACAAAAACGAGTAGAATCATGAAAAGTAGCAGTTCAGGTATTGTAATTTGGTGGTAAAAGTAGAGCTAAAAGAACTGCTTAGTAGAGATTCGAAACCTACATCGTCTTACCTCCCTCTCGTTGCACATTGGAATCTGCACCAACACCATCGGATAATCCTCCACGTTGACATCACCGGAATCCGAAGAATACTCGAATTCAGCAACCGGCTTAATCCTCTTGAACTTGATCCAAAAACATCCGAGCACTAAAAGCAACCGATCCACCGATTGTACCAAGAACAGAAGAATACAAACATTCGTCAAATTCTGCAAAGGTGGTGCCAAATAATTCGCCCTAATCTCAAGCCAATGCGCATAAACGTACTCCACTAAATCCGCCGCTCTCCTAACCGTCGGCGGACTAAAATGCCACCCTCTAGAGTAAGCAAGTAGCTCAAACACTAGCAACAACACTACAATCACCAGAAACACCTTAATAACTCGATAAAACCGCGTCTCAAATCGATACAACAACCTTTCAGACGGCGAATCAGCGCTGATCCGTCGGTTCACAGTCTTTACTAACGAAACGAAGCCCGTGGTAACATAAGCAAGCGAACTAGCTATCTGAATCAATTTTAACAGCCATACGTGCTTGATTTGTCGAGCACTTCGCGTTCGCTCTTTATCAACTCTCAGATCGTGATTGCCGACGGCACTACCAAGTTCAACCGCCAAAAAATTGGGGGTTTCAGATTTATCGTTGAATAATAGTTCACTACTGTGATTTTCTCTCTGTTTGTTCCACCATTCTTGAAATTCATAGTGTTGTTGCCGAGACATATATAGATCGATAGATACAGAATCAATGTATGTGTAATTTACAAGCTTGAAACCCACAGATCCCTGAAGATTTTTCTCAGTGCACCATTGTTGGTCCGGATTGCTAAATTTAGTTAGGACTGATTCGGCAGCAGATTTAGCGGAGGTATTGCTGTCTCATCAAGCTACAGGGAAGCCACTCGCTGCCGACCGTTCACGCTCTATTACTAGGTCTTGGGAGCGTAGAAAAGGATCCTGCGCGTGGAACTGGTCGGCGCCTTGTGCGGTGGTTCATTCTCTACCAGGCAGCTGGCTTTATTAATTGTCGGTGTAGTCAATATTAAGGATGCCGAAACCCCATCAACCCAACATAAAATAAGTGAACCTAAAACAACTCCATTTGAATTGTAGAATTTTCAAACGATTTTGGATTATTGTCGTTTGAATTCACTCAGATACCATATCTTTAATTTCTTAAATTTAATATGATTATTGAGTTTTTATTAATATGTATATTAGACAATTATATTATCACATACTCTTTTCATATACATATATTTTTTATTTATTTATATATATGTTCAGTAATTATGAATATATATATATATATGTAAATTGAGAAAATTAATTTAATTTGATATATGTAAGATTTAAAAAGTATGAATAAGTTGTACTAAATGGTTGATGATGAAACCGAAATCATGAGTAGATAAAACAACATATTCAAGGTTAGAAGAATATTTAATGTACCAAAGTATCAACCCTACCAACTTGTATGGTTTTGTTTGGGTTGGGTTGGGTTGGATTAAGATTTTGCAAACCACGAACATTGGGTTGAGTTGTTCAAATGTCTTCAACTCAATCAACTCAGCCATGAACACCCCTAATTAATATATGTCACAAAATGGTCTGTTCATGCCAAACAAAACGTCAATTATGAGATTTTGTTTCATATGGTATTATTGATTGGTTTATGTATCTCAATTTTATTTATTCGAGTGAAAAGTTGACTATCAGCAATTCAGAAACAGTCTCATATAGGATATTAATGAATCGGGTTTGACCCGGTTATTGGTATTCCCATCTTCGAAATCAATAGTTAAAATCGTCCTTGTAACTGTCTCGATCTCCATCATGGATTTTAACGCGGTCCCCATTGGATCCCTGCGATTTTCCTGATCTCTGTTGAGGAACCTGTAAAGAATAAAAACCTTTATTCTCTGTTATTTTCCTCGTCCATCATTGGTTATCTTTGAACTTGAAATCAAAATCTAGGGGAAAAATTGGCGTCCAATTTGAAAGCGAGGTTGTGAAGGTAGTATACCGTAGTAAAAAATTTGAGAATTACAAGTTCTCTGTGGCTTAAAAAAAGTAGACGAACACGATACTAATAGGATGGTTTTTTTTTAAGAGGAGATTGGCCAAAATAGTTTTTTTTTTATATATAATTGATCTCCTGACCATTTTTTCTTCATGATTTATCCAAATATCATTATGTTCGCAAGTCACGTATCTGCCACTTGTGGACCTAGCTAAAAAACAAAAAGAATTATAAGATTTGATCCCAGATCGACAATATCGACAGATGGGTCTACAATTTGAAACTCTTTTTTGTCTTTTAGATGTGTCCGCAAGTGGTGGACGTGGGACTTAGGAGGTAGTGATATTTCGGTAAATCTGGGAGGGGAATGGTAGGAAACCAATTTATGTAAATTGAATGACTATTTTGGCCAATTTTACCTTTTTTAGTTATTATATATATACATATATATATATATATATAGTGAGAGAGAGATGAGCGATTAAATGCAAATCACTCATATTTATACAAATCGTGCAAATCACTTTCATCCGTCAATTTCATTGTTTAATCTTATAAATTTTTCTCATTAAATTAAATTGTTTAATCTTATGAAATTGTTTCATATAATACTTTTTTTGATTAAGTTATGAAATTTTAATGAACTGTTTCATGTATTTCTTTAAAATTAATATAATGAAGATGATAATATCTATGATTAACACCCTCCACAGTAAAAATGATTAATCAACCTCTCATAATTACAAAAATATGAACAAAATGAAAAATTATGATTGGTTAAATGATGTTTGTACGGTTTGTATAAATAACGTGGTTTGCAAGGTAAATCTCCTCTCTCTCTCTCTACATATATATATATATATATATATATATATAGGTCGGGCCGATGATGGCCTTCCCATCCCCGAAACTGATAAAATCACTGAATTTGTCCCCGTCAAAGGTTGTTGAAACAAAATAAAAAAACCATAATAAAACATGGATGAAAACCATAATTTACTCTAGTTTCTAATCAGTTCTCGAAACAAAAATCCCTAAAACTCAATCAGAGGTTGTTTGGTTGGTTTTCAAATAAATTACGTAAGGGTAAAGTTGTTATATGATTTGTTTTGTGTATAGATTAAGAAAGTTTTTTTTTGAGATGATTTTTTCATAGATTTTATGGGTATATTTTTTAATTAGAAAGAACAAATTGGGAAGAAAAAAAAAACCTTATATTTCTATATAAAACTTCTCCCTAACAACTTATTGAATAAAAAATTTTCTATAATTTCATTAAGCTGTTAATAAACATACATTTACTGTTATAGGATTAGGTTCACGTGAGACAAGGTTGTTTTCATAAGACATGTGAGACACGATTTTTACACTTGAAACCTCACAACAAAATGTTGTGAAGGTAAAAAAAAAGCTGAATCTTCACAGTGTTTTGCTATGAAGTTTCAAGTGTAAAAATTGTGTCTCATATTACCTTCATAGTGTTTTGCTGTGAAATTTCAAGTGTAAAAACCGTGTCTCACGTGTCTTTAGAAAACAATCTTGTCTCGCATGATCTCAAATCTACTGTTATAACCATGTTGTTCTCCATATTAGTGTAACCGTTGTATCCTTAGTTCCTTACTCAACGCTATGATGGTTTTGCATTTTTTTGAAATTTTGACGCGTAAGAAAACATCAAGAGCTTTACTTAAAACAACTTTATTTTATTTCAACCAAATGGTTTTTGGCTTAACGATATTGTAGTTTTTGGCCTCCTATGAGGTCAAGGGTTCAAACCTCATCAAAAGTGAAGAATGTGCGTGACTTTATTTGTTGCATTTGCCGTATATAAATATATTGTATATTTCAAAAGACTTTATTTTATTTTCTTTTATATACAAGTTTGCATATAAAGTTGTCAAACATCCATTAATTTTGTTTATAACTCTTTATATAAATGACGGGTAATATTTGAGCAAGTACACGCATTTAAATTTACCATTATAAATTTGAATTTTACAATTATTTATTTATTTATTTTAATTTGTATGCTTTTAAGACCTGTTTGTCGACACCTTAATGAGGTTAACTAAATATATAATTTATTCGATCAGCTATATATAACTATAAGAAATGAAAATACAAATGCAAAATAATGGGAATAGTAATGATCATTGCATCGATACTGTTTGCTTAACCTAATATAATCAATGAAAATTTGTTTTAAATAATACTTCTAATACATAATATATCTTGTACAACTTGGAAAATATAAAATAAGTTCCACCCAACGTGAAAATAGAAAATATGTTACATTCAACATCGAGAGATGGATTAAACGACAATAAAAAAATGTATTTCCACCAATTTGATCAGGTATGGAAAAGAAATACATCAGTTTGAAGTAATTGAATCATTAAACGACAAATAAATGATTCAGCGAAGTCCAAAGGATTCCAATGAGAAGGAGAGTTAGGGTAAAACTGTAAAGACGTAAGAATGAATATCCACCCTTGAATGCACCTTAAGATGAGATGCACCGGACCGATTCCAGTATCAAAGCGTGATTCATTAGTGAGTTTGAGATTAAAGGTGATCAATAGTCCAGATCTCTTTTTACACTTCTCAGCTTAACTCTCTTTCTTACACGATACTTCGCGATCTGAATAATTCTAATCAACCCAAAAAGTTGAAATCTAAACTCTAGATTCTGACCACTTCAGGAAATAAATGAAACCAATCGCACATGGATTAATAATATCTAAGGAGGGTAAGATAAATTACATATACTCCAAAAAGTAGACTGTTTCCGTAAAGATACAGCACAAAATCGACTATAAAGCAACAAAACGATATTTGTTGCAATTGCATAACCTAAAAGGCCCGAGTGTTAATCCTAAGTTTAAGGCCATTTACTAAACGTTTATCGGGTAAATGTTTACCAGTATCACTTAACTTACCGATTGAACATGACAAGGACCGAGAATCTTACCCAGTAAGAGGCATAACAAGGTCCGAGAGCCTTACCCAGTAAGTGAGAAAAAAGACTCTTACCCGGTAAGTGCTTACGGGGTTTAAGATGCTTACCTACATTTTATTTTAATGGTCGAAAATTTTACATGATAATGTACGTGTGGGTAATTTCTCTTGCCAGTAAGCACTTACCCTGTAAGCGTTTGGTAAATGGCCCCTTATATTTTCTCCATTCTCGTAATGAACAGGCGGCTAGAAGTTTTCACCCAGTTTGCTCATGTTCAGGTAAGGTTTTAAGGATCCTAAAAGAATGAATAACAATTCTAAATCTGGTTTGATGTACTTGTTAAGCTATTCTAAAATCCAATCAAACTAAGGGTCAGTTTGTTAGTAGCTTAATGTGCTTAATGGAACTCAGAACTTATTCGATCAGTTATATATGATTGTTTGGTAGTGGCTTGATGATATAGAAAGTGGCTTATTCAATAAGCTTCTAGGGGGGACCTTTATGCAGAAAGCCAAGTTTTTTCAAACTTGCCCTTCCCAATTAAAAAACATGATCCTTTCATCTATATGAAAAATCCTCCCAAATAAAACACCTTCCCGATTTATACAGACAGATTAATCCATGCATACAGCTTTATCCATATAGGATAGTATGGACTTAATGAAAAACCAACCAAATAGCCCAAACCCAGTATATCCCACTCAGATGTAAGGTCTTGGGTGAGATGTAGCCAGACCAGGGGAAAAACGGTTCCTCGTTGCAATGGATGGGTTTTGTAATGAAGATGACATCCGATACCATAGTTTTTGGAGAAAAAAGTCGATGCTTAAATCAATAAAAAACAGCAAGGATGTTGTTCTACAAACGAAAACTCAGTCTGAAACTAGTATGTACAGTAAAAGCTAGTAACTCAGTGTGTGACAAAGATTATGCACCTGTGTAACCAAATGCTTAACTGCTCATTTAACCGAGGTCGTGGATCCAGAGCCGGATTTTTGTTCCACAAAACTGGAACTGGTGCGATACATCTTCCGTCGTGGGAATTTCCTGCAGTATGAAGTCAGAGGCATGTACGTCAAGACCAGACCAAGTAATTCATGTACAAAAAATCAACCATTTATACCCTTTTCTTTGATCTTGTTTTGTGTCTCCTATTTTTATTTCTTTCTACACCGAGTAGAAATCACATCTTCACTTACCTTCGAACCATACGAATGAGCCTCACAAAAGCCAAAATGAACATGATCTAAGGGGCCGTTTACCAAATGCTTACAAGGTAAGCACCTACCAGGTGTCATTTACCTACCTGCTAAGAGGCATCGCAAAGACCGAGAAGTGAGACTCTTACCCGCTTCCCAACAATCCATTTTGATTGCCTAGAATGTTGCCCATTAAGGTTAAGTGAGAGTGGTGAGTCTTAAGCGTTTGGTAAACGGCCCCTACTTTAATAATTAAAGTCTCTGTAAGATGGTTTTTTGCATTTAAATTTACACAATTTGTCTAAAATAGCACGTACTAATAAATTGTAGTGTTTTTTCCTTCTTTGTTTAATTGAATTTTCTTAAAGATTGGTTTCTTCCCAATAAAAATCAAGTACAAAGCTTGAAAATTTTAATCCCTTCTTTTTTCCACTTAAATCAACTGCGGCATTCATAAAAGTATAAGATGAAGTCGTTACATAGAAGCCCAACATACTTGGGCGGTTTGGCAATATGTTGAACACCATTTCTTTCCAAGCCATTATTCCCAAGCTGGATGGAGATCAAACCACTTGATGGCGCTCCTGATGGCTTAGGAGAATCATCAAAACTCAATGTTGAACTTTGACCTGAACCAAAACCTGCAAGCAAGGTCACGGAGACTCAGATGTATACGGAACAAATCTTTTATTTCACAATCGGGTGAGCCGTAGTAGAGTACTAATAAGTTAGTCTAAGCATAAGAACTGAAGCTATGGCATTTATCAGAGCTATGTACGAGCATAATTGTATTTTAATAATTAACATAGGAAAAGTTCTTAAGGTCCTATTCTTTCAGGCCTTCCAAAATTCTCATGTTATGGTTCTCAATTACATGATGGGAGGAGAAAAAAAGATGTGACTATAAGTTCACCCACAAAATGGAGAACAGATGGAAACGGTGTAAATGAGTGGCAGTGACCAAGTGTGCAAACTGGGAAAAAGGACAATTTATTAGTACACTTAAGGGATATGCAACATGGCCTAAACAATATCAAACAGTAGCCTCTATATGCCAAACTTTAGAGACAAAAGCATATAATCATTTGGCACATAAAAGTTGCAATACTCGACTATACGTAGCTTACTAGAAATGGTAACAGACCGACATATAAATAGTAAATACCATTAATTATAATAACAAAATGGGGAGATTCTTCTTGGCCAACTTAAATGTTAATGGGTAAAGTGGTAACTTTAGCTTCAAACCTGAAAACATAGCGCTCCAATGAATATGGGATGTCCCAGAAGGGAAATGGGGAGTTTGTGGTGGAGTTATCTATTCCATGACATTGAATAAGGCTCATGATAAATGGCCTCTACTTCGCAATGTGGCACTGGATTTCCCTCTAAGGGAAATGAACATTGGCATACCTCACACACAAAACCATAGAAAGTCTAGACACTCAAACCTTTATCTGCAAATTTTCATTATGATTAGCTTAGGTTTGCAACTAGCATTTTACTTAATCATGCTATTAAGTTAATTAGATGGTTCATGATGAAAGAAGTTCAACGCCCTAAGGGGGTGTTTGGTTCACACTTCATAGAATGGAATTTGGTGGAATTGGAATCAATCAAAGGAATTTGACTTTGAAGGAGTCGGAATGGAATTCGATGGAATTTGACCACGCGTTTGGTTGGTAGGAATTGGAATGATTTCTCTTCAAAGAATTGGAATCTCCATCTGTGTTTGGAC